GAAGAGGAGTCTGCTGACCTCTTGGTCATGTCCCAGCCTACCAAATTGAATGAGGAAGCTAGTGAGATGGAGATCCAGTTTTCTGAGTTTCGCAAGTGACCTCGAGAGCAGGATGACCTCTTTGCCCCCAAGAAGGTGGGGATCGCTCTCCCAGAGCCAGTCCTTGACCTGGACAATGAGAGGATGCTGATGTATCTAGACATTGAGGTTGTAGACACTGCGTTTGTGGGTGAGCTCCCACCTGGTGTGTAGCCTCACTGAGCTTCTTTTGGCAATGTCCAGCCCATGTTGACAGACCCCCCTGGGTTGGCCCCGACTATGAGGGTCTCTTGGCCTTTTTGAAACAGACCAAAGGACATAAAAATGTAGCAGGGCACATCACCCAGTGGCACGCAGATCCTAACCTCTTTGTCAAGGCTGCCAGAGCTGTGGCCAAACTTATGCAACAGCATCTAGGCACTTGGCAAATAGCTTACCATCTGGAGAAGCTCGCACAGTGGGTGAAAGATGAGTAGGGTCTGGGGGGGGGGGCCCTGGAGTAGAGTAGGGCATGATAGACCTTCCCTGACCTGTCTCTACTTTTTTGCTTTACTCCTGAGTGCTTGCTCTTCCACCTACACCTTACCTCACTCTTTCTCTCCCATTCCCACACCCATGGCAGCCACAACCATTGACACTTTTAACATCTATGGCTGTTGAGATCCAGTGAAATGGGAGGCTGTCCTGGAGCTTCTGTGCCAGAAGCAGATGGCCATTGCCTTCCTCCAGGAGATGCATTCCAACAGGCTCAACCAGGTGGCTTGGCACGCTGCTTGGTGAGGCCACTTGTTCCTGAGCCATGGCACCAACCTTAGCACCAGGGTCGCGACTCTACTATCTCCACAACTATAGCATGATATGGTGGTGGTGTGGGAGGTCAGCTCCAGCCGCCTGCTGACTGTCCACGTCACCCTAGCACAATACCACCTGCTACTCATCAACACTTATTCATCCAGTGATGGCCAGGAGAGAGTTGCTTTCTTTGAGACCTTGGTCACCCTCCTGCACGACACTAGTGAGGATGATGACCTGCTCCTCATAGGCGGAGACTTTAATTGCACCATTGATGTCTCACTCGACTGCACGGGGCCTGAGCCTCACCTGTCCTCAGCCCACAAGCTGCAGTCTGCCCTGGAGAATGCAGGCCTCGTTAATGTCTGGCAAAGCCTGCATCCTGATCCATGACAGTACACCTGGGCCAGGATGAGTGCTGATGGTCTCATCATGGCTTACCTTGAGTGCCTTTATGCCACCAGGCACCATCCGCCACTCCTGCGCAGTGACTGCATCATTCCCTTGGGCCTGTCAGATCATGGCCTTGTCTGCTGTGAACTGAGCCTGCCAGGGAGAACCTGCATGCAGGGAAGCCTATTGGTGCTTCATCATCAGCCTGCTTCAAGACTTCTACTTCTGGGACTGCTTCACCCACTTTTGGCAGGGCTGGGAGGCCGCAAGACTGATCTGCTCCTCCTGGAGGTTATGGTGGAATATGGGCAAGGTACAGACCCCAGCCTTTTTCCATCAGCGCACCCAGATGGCCACAAATGAACTGTGCCACCGTATCTGAGAGCTGGAGGAAGATGTGGCAGAGTTCAAGGCCACCCTGCTGGCTGCTGGCAGTGATGCTGTGTTGTGTGAGAGCCTCCAGTTCCGCAGAAAATGCCTGCGTGACTTGGAGGAGAGCGTGGCCTATGGAGCGAGGATCCATGCCCGCTGCCAAGAGCTGGCAGAAACACATGCCCCAACCTGCTTCTTCTTCAACCTGAAGCAGCAGCGGGCAGCAAGCAAAGTTTTAGATCACCTCAAGACCCCCAAGGGCCAGGTAATCACAGACTGGGTGAAGTACATGAGCACACCATCGCCTTCTATCGTGACTTGTTTGTGGCTAAGCTGTCTTGCCCTGAGGCCACATGGGAACTCCATACGGGCCTGACACATCTCTGTGCCCTGGAGGCCAGTGAGCTTCAGTGGGAATTGTCTCTGGAGGAGCTGGCAGTCGCCACGGCTGGCCTCGCCTCTGGCAAAGCCCCAGGCCTTGATGGGTTACCTGCCGAGTTCTACAAGACCTTCTGGCCTCTCCTTGGCCCCTGCCTCCTGCACTTTTTCCAGGAGAGTCTTGCTAACAAGGTCCTGCTGATCATCTGCCACTGAGTGGTGCTCACACTGCTGCCCAAGAAGGGAGACCTTGGTTGCATTAAGAACTGGTGGCCAGTCTCCCTGCTATGCATGGACTACAAGATTCTGGCCAAAGCGCTGGCAACCCGCCTCTGTACTGTCATAGCCTCCATCACTGGTCCTGAGCAGAGCTACTGCGTGCTGGGCAGAACCATCCAAGACAACCTGTTTCTGCTGCGTGATCTACTTACAGCCAGTGAACTCTTTGGCGTAGACATTGGCCTCATCTCTCTGGATCAGGAGAAAGCCTTTGACTGGGTGGACCAAGTCTACCTCTTTCAGACCCTGGAGGCCTTTCGCTTTGGGCCCCTTTTCACTGTGGCCCTCTAGGCCTTGTATCAAGACACTTCCAGTCTGCTCAAGGTGAACAGGGTGCTCTGCACCCTGTTCCCTGCACACAGAGGCATCCATTAGGGCTGCCCCGTCGGGCATGCTCTATGCCCTGGCCATTGAGCCACTGCTGCATCCACTGCGGTGCCACCTGAGTGATGTGGCCTTGCCATTGGCCATGGGCCTGTCCATTGCCCCTCTGCTCAGGCTATCAGCATATGCAGATGACATTACCATCTTTCTTAACACCCAGGAAGACGTGGAGGCCCTGACAGATTGCCAGCGAGCCTATGAATGCGCCTCCTCAGCCTGTATCAACTGGGCCAAGAGTGATACCCTGCTGCTTGGTCATGGGTCACCATGACCCCCCCAGATTTGCGCTGGTACCTACCCAGCCTCTCCTACTGTGGATGTGTCCTCATCACGAATAACTTGGCAGCGGCAACCTTGTGGCACTGGTGCACCGTACTCAATCTGCCACAGCACCTGCTCGAGAGACTCCAGCATCTCCTGGTTGATTTTTTATGGGATGGGTGTCACTGGCTCCCACGAGCTGTCCTTTACCTACCTGTAGCTGAGGGGGGCCAGAGTTTGGTCGACCTTGCGAGCAAGGTGGCCGCCTTCCGTCTGCGGGCCCTTCAACAACTCCTGTACAATGAGGAATGCCTACCTTAGCAACAACTGGTGTGCTGGTTTCTGCAGAGGGTGGGGGCCCTTGGCTTTGACTGGGAGCTCTTCCTGTTAGACCTCACACTTTTGAACTGGGCAGTGCTTCCGGCTTTCTACCTCGGAATGGTACAAGCCTGGCAAGCCACTTTCTGCCCCCAGCCCTGGGCCCATCACCTGTAGTTCCCACAGCTGCTGAGGGAACCCATGGTGCACAACCCAGCTCTTAGGCGCCCTGTGCCAAGCCTGGCCTCTGCCAGTCTCACAACCATTCTCATCCAGGCGTGTGTCCTCCACCTGAGCCATCTCCTTGACCCCACTCAGTCAGCCTGGCTCTTGCCCAAGGCCTTAACCACTTGGCTAGGCATGCGCTCCATTCACAGTGTGGGCCATCTCCTGTGTGACATCCAAGCTGCCCTCCCATTGGAGGCAGCAGCCACCCTGGACAACCATCTCCAGGCGGGCCAGTTCCCCTACGCTGCAGATGTCCCGAGTGAGTTTTTTCCTGCATTACCAGTCACCCTGACCATGGCTGGTGAGCTGCCTGGCAGACCTGGCATGCTGCAGACACTCCCTGTGCCTCCTGACAGTGACACAGGTTACCACTTTGCTTTTCTGTCGTGTAGAAGCCTATATGCCTGGGTGGTTCATGTCTGCCATGCCCAAGTGCTGGCAGGCTGCCCCAATACACCGTGACAATGATGCCTGGGGCTTCCAGATTCCCCACTAGCCTACCTGGCATGGCGCACATTGTATAAGCCGCCAACCTTCAAGAAGACTGGTGACCTGCTGTGGCAGTTGCTGCATGGCATCCTAGCCACTGGCATGTTTGCGTACCTCTTTGACCTAGCCGCCTTGATGGCCTGTCCCTTCTGCTCATGGGGTGTTGAGGAGACCCTCTTTCATGCCTTCCTCAACTGGACCCACCTCCAGCTGCTCTTTGTCACCATTGAGCCGCTGCTGCGAGTGCTGGGCAGGAGCTTCTCAGAAACCACTTACATATGCTCCTACCCATACTGGGCAGCTGAGAAGGGCCCCATCTGCCTGGCCAACTTTTTACTGTGTCAGGCCAAGATGGCTGTCCTCAAGAGCCACCGAAACTGGCTTGCTGGGACTGGCTCAGATGACGCCCTGTGGCTTTTCTGCCTCCTGGTGCAGGCGTGCCTCTCGTTGGAGTTTGAGTACGCTGTGTTCCAATGGATGGTGCTCACCTTTGAGACATGCTAGGCCCTTGAGGGAGCGTTGTGCCATGTGGAGGATGGCTATCTCAAATACACACTTTCATGTCATGACCAGTCTGGGTGACTGGGCTGGCTCGGTGTCGGACTATGACTTCCAGCTCATGCAGCATCCTGGGCCCTCACCAGGCTCCTTTTTTTGCTTTCTTTTTGTGTGGGAAGTTGAAGGTGTTGTCATGTGTATGATTGGATTGAGCAGGGTATGAATTGTTTATTTATAGTTATGACCATGTGGCCAGCACTCCAACCGCATAACTAGCATGTAAGACACGACGTGGAATGTAGCGAAGGTGTCTGTCACGGTGTGATGTGATGAATGCAATGACATGGTGTTCTTGGTTTGATAGTATGTTGTTTGTTTTTTGCTTTGTAAGCGGCCAACCTTTTTGTATCCCTGAACCCCTGAATAAAGTAGTTAAAAGTCAAAGTCGTTCCTTTTGATTATCTGCTGCCCAAGACTTACAGGTTTTTTTCTGTGTGGCCATCAACACTGGCCACCATAAATTTGTTCATAGAAATAGGGGATGGTAAATCTCAATAAGATGGCACCCATTTCATTCCAAATACAAATTTATAAGTTTGTTGTCATCTTTTACTTAGCCATGTGAGAGGTATTAACATTGATTTCAAAGCTAGAAATAGGAAGGGACTGATTTTCCTCTCACTTACATATGTCAATCAAAATTAAATCCACACAACTGTAACGAGGTAGGTGTTATAAAACTGGCATGAGAACAAAAATGGGCTCAAAGTCTGATAAAAAGGAAAAAAATATAGTAAATCTAAACAAAAGAATGTTTTCAATATTTAGGGACAAATTTTATCTTCTGTCTTCCAGTGTGCAGTCATAACTCACTGAATTATAAATGCAAAAACCTTGGCTTTCTGTCAGTTCCAGGGGACAGTGAAATTAAAAGATTAATGACTAAATATTCCATAGATAAAAGCAAAAAATTCCTTGCTTGGTTTAGCAATATCTTTAGTCTGTTAAGGCAGATGTTTTTTGAAATCTTCCATCACTTTAGCTGTCTGTTTACATTTGCATTGTAGTCAAGTAGGAGAAAGAAATGGACTCAATAGTTCTTTTTTTCTGCATGTCATGCATTAACAAAATCATCCACAGCTTGCATCAAAATATGTATGTCAATAGCAAAATTCAAAACCATACATTTTGCCCACATTCTCAATTTTTGGGCCTGAATTTATCAGATAGGTATTCTTCATGACAGCATCTCATTTTCTACACCTTTGATACTTTCTGCAAATCTTGCAAAGAGCCTTGTGATATTGCACTTAAAAGCTTTATACCTTATGGAAAGTTTATAGCTTTTGCTATTTTTAAGATTTGGCTCCACTTTCTCTTAATCATAGCACTCCCTTTCATTTTCTAATGCTGCTGTGCATGTGTTTTATTTATGCAAGATCTAACCTAAAAATCTCTGACTTTTTTTCTGCTCTAGTTTGATAAGGTGGAGATAATACTGGAAGATTCAGATCTGTAGTTTTATGAGTATTCTTGAGTTGGAACAAGTTTCTCTTATTTGTGTTAAGCAAGTTGCTTGGGTTTTCTTTTGACTGCCTCAAACTTCTTACCATAAATGTTTGTTGTTGAGGCATAGGGAAAATTGGAGGTTTGGAAGTGTTGATCAGAAAAGGAGGGGGACCACTTGTTTGTGGTGATGATCTCATCCAGGAAAACTTTTTAATTATGGTGTCTCGCAGGGCAGCTTGTCTCAGCCTGGGTAAAGGGGAAAGCTGTGGAGATTTAATCATTAATTGATTAGGACTTTCTTTTCCTGGGTGTCGCCATGTTGGGGTTGGAACGTTGTCATCCACTGCTTTCAGAAGGTCTTTAAATTTTGTGTCCTGATGGGGCACAGTGCTCCAGCCTACTAGTCTATTTTCTGTTAGAGATCGTGGTGTGACTCTACTTGTAGATGATGTTGTGGACCTTTGAACCTGGTGGTTTGCAGAATGTGCTTGATTCTGTACTAATGCAGGGGGTAGTTTCTCAGGAAGACTGGCTTTCCTGACTTCAGCTAACTCTTCAGAAGCATCCACATTCTCTTGCAGAGAAGCAGGTGGCTGCTTTATCGGGTCACATAAACCATTTTGATTTGGTGATTTAGGAGGCTCAAGGTGAACCAGTTCTCTGTCTGCAAACTTGGAAACTAAATGGAAGGTAAAATGAATCAGATTAGTTCATGCTAAAATGGTAGTTTCAATAAAGTAACAAATTGTTTCTAAAAGAGCCTCATCTTGTGACTGAAAAAATCAGTTTGACCTGAGGTTGAGCACTTCCAAAATTATAAACTTATACATATGAAAAACAGCTGGTAATTTGGTGCCCAACTTCAGACACCTTGAAAGGGCCTGTTTTCAGAGGGTAAATGGGCAGCATTGCTTAAAAACTTATCCCCTTTCAAGTGTTTTAAGTCAGCCACACAAAAACAGAGACATTCAAAATCATTAGAAAATGTACGCCTATGTATAAAGTGAATTATTACATATGAGTAGCTCCAATATCAGTGACTGCATTGCACAACTCTTGCCCAAATGATCAGGAAGCTGTGGTTGCAGTGATGGAAAATTAAAGTGAGCATCTTGGCATAAGGCTGCCTAGGTGTCTTTTTATTGTGTTAGGTCATTTGGATTATTACACAACATGTATTACAGACACTATAAATCTAAACATTTTTAGGTGTGGGATGGCTAGATCAGAATTTGATTTTTTTATATACCAGATTATCCCTTTCCCTGAACTTTGAGAAATTTTTTACATTGGTGTGCAGGGAATATAAAATATTAACTGTCTGACTTGGGGCATGGCAATGGAAATCAGTTGAATTGTGACTAGCACCATCCCTGTATTTATCCTTAAAATCCAGTGTCATTTTTGTCTTATTTTTCCTGTAGAATAGTCAATGTTTGGACTGTTGCAGGCTATGAAGGTACCAGCACAATCCGTCTTACTAAGATTCATCAGGCAAGCAAAGGAAATGACTTGGATTATGATTTATCACTGACAATTATGTGTATTCAATATCTCCAGTGTAAATTGGGTTAAATCAGGGTGTCAGACTCACCCAGCTCCCTAGGCCAGATTTGGACTGTGGGGCTCCATGTGTGCTGGATCTGGACTCAGCAACAGCAGTAGGGTGAATGGCATCAGGAAGCCACAGGGGTAATGCAGCCATTGCTCATCCCCTGCTCTGAAACACATCTTTGTGCCCTGGATTTCAGCAGTGGGACCTAGTCCCTAACCCCTGGCCCCTCATGGGCCAGATGACACAGCACTGTAGGCTGGATCCAGCCTGCGGGCCATTGTGTTTGATATGCCTGGGTTAGATACTCAGGTGCAGCTTTTTTTTTTTCCTTGTGCAAAGGTCAAGTGATCAGTAAAATTGAAAAGGATTTTCATAAGGTGTGAAGGCAAGAAGTTTGTAGTTTCACCTTCTCTTTGGTTTATCAGTCTTCATCTATTGCCTTCTATTTGACAGTTTGCACAATGAATTCTTCAAAAAGGGGAGGAAAGAGGACCCAGGGAACTACAGGCCAGTCAGTCTTACCTCAATCCTGGGCAAGCTGTTCGAGAAAATTATTCTGGTACACATCCAGGAGGGGCCAGCAGGGAACTGCATGCTCAGGGGCAACCAGCACGGGTTCATCAGCGGCAGGTCCTGTCAGACCAACCTGGTGGCCTTTTACGACCAGGTCACTAAATCATTGGATGCAGGGGTGGCAGTGGATATAGTTTTCCTAGACTTCAGGAAGGCTTTTGATACTGTCTCTCACCCCATTCTCATTAGGAAGCTGGGGGACTGTGGCGTAGACACCCATACAGTCCAATGGGTCGCCAACTGGTTAGAGAGTCGCACCCAGAGGGTGGTAGTGGATGGGTCCTTCTCGACCTGGAAGGACGTGGGAAGTGGGGTCCCACAGGGCTCGGTCCTTGGGCCCGCCCTGTTCAACATCTTCATCAGTGATTTGGATGAGGGGGTGCAAAGCACCCTGTTCAAGTTTGCTGATGACACTAAGATGTGGGGGGATGTGGGCACAATAGAGGGGAGCAACAGGCTACAGTTGGACCTGGATAGGTTACAAGGATGGGCGGAGGAGAATAGGATGGGGTTTAACACAGACAAGTGTAAGGTGATGCACCTGGGGAGGAACAATCGGCACCATACATACAGGCTGGGGAACTCCCCTCTTGTCAGCACGGAGGTGGAAAAGGATCTGGGAGTCATTATTGACTCCAAGATGAACATGAGTCGGCAATGTGGGGAGGCGGCTAGGAAGGCCAACTGCACCTTGTCGTGCATCCACAGATGCATCTCGAGCAGGTCCAAGGAGGTGATCCTCCCCCTCTATGCGGCACTGGTCAGGCCGCAGCTGGAGTACTGCGTCCAGTTCTGGGCGCCGCACTTTAAGAGGGATGTGGACAGCATCGAGAGGGTCCAGAGGAGGGCCACTCGTATGATCAAGGGACAGCAGGGTAGGTCCTATGAGGAAAGGTTGCGGGACCCGAACCTGTTCAGCCTTCAAAAGAGAAGGCTGAGGGGGGATCTTGTGGCCTGTTATAAACTGGTTAGGGGGGATCAGCAGGCGCTGGGGGAGTCCCTGTTCCCCTGAGCGCCACAAGGAGTGACCAGGAACAACGGTCACAAGCTGGCGGAGGGAAGGTTTAAGTTGGACATCAGGAGGCGCTACTTCACGATGAGGGCGGCTAGGGTCTGGAACCAGCTTCCAAGTGAGGTGGTGCTGGCTCCCACCCTGGGGGTTTTTAAGAGGAGGTTGGATGACCACCTTGCTGGGGTCATTTGACCCCAGTACTCTTTCCTGCCATGGCAGGGGGTCGGACTAGATGATCTGCTCAGGTCCCTTCTAACACTAGAAACTATGAAACTATGAAACTATGAATTTCCTGTTTACCACAGAGGAGGGTTCGTACTGGAAAACCTTGTTTTCCCATCTCATTCTACATTTCTGAGTCCCATGTTGCTCCAATGGATGTGCTTCTCTTGATCCTGGTGAATGCAGCAATAGCACCTATTCTCCTTTACACTGACTTAAATTTTGGAAAATATACTTTTACACCCCCCCAGTGACAACAAAAATATTTTTTTGATGAAACAGATAGGACATGGACATGATGAAATGCTGAAGGTCTTTCTAGTGAAAACTGTACTGGAAGGCTAGGAGCATTACATTTGTTCCTGGACAAGTTGTGCTGGCTTTTGTCCTGGAACAGAAATATTCCAGGATTGGTTTGTATGCACATTGTCATTCTAACCAGGTTTTGGCAAGCAGCTGAATGCACTGACACTTTTCGGCCATTGATTCAATGATGCAGTTCCAAGAGAGCCATTCAGGAGTGTTTCGTGATGTCCCAGGATAAACTGTCAGTACTTCTTATCCTATGAAACTTTTTAGGATTTATCATAGGAAAGTGGACATGGGCATCTGAACAACTGCACTTTGTCGTGGGATAAACTGTTTTAACCCAGAACAAATGTGACATTTGTCTGTAGCCTTATCAGCTTCAGTGGGGAGGGGAGGGGACACACAGGACTATAAAGTAAGCAACTAAAGCTGATATAAACTTTTTGAATTGCAAAAGAGGTGGGGTACTGTTACAGAATTTCCCGAGAATATGCATACTGACCTGCTTTAAGGCATCACTTTTAGATTTATAAGCCATTACTATATTGTTTAATGGTACCTTCTAAGAAGTTTTCTTGGTTTTCCAGTGTAATTGCAATTTCGTCTTCTTTAATGGCATCTGGCATCGCTGGGGTTAATGTAGAAGGAAATGTCTTATTGTCACAGTTGTTGAGACCTTCTGCTGTGGCCACTTTTGCCTTTTGGAAAATCTGAATATCTGACTCTTGAGTCAGATGTTTAGGAGGTTTACCATCGCATTTTTCTACTGTGTTTTCCCACTGCAAAAATTTTGGACATTGTATTAAAAAGCTTAAATTGGAAAAAGAAAGTGGAGCATAAGATGCACAGACAAGTGGATGTACACAACATGCATTTTTTTCCCTTACCAGTTCTACTGACATATCCTCCCCCCATATCCAAAATGCAATACAAGCAGAACCAGTACATCTAGAATACTTTCACTGGTCTCCTGTCAATCCCAAGGTCTAGAGGGTTTGTGGGATGGCAAACCCTGAAGCCTCACAATCTCATTAGGATTTCTTTATACATTGCTTCCTTACATCTCCACACATTAGAGACGTGTAGGGGGTGCACATGCACCCCCTGAGATTGGCCGCCACCACTACTGCTGGCAGCACCTGTGGGCAGTTGCTTCTCGCTACCCCACTCCTGCCACTGACACCACCACCGGTGTCTGTGGGTGGTCATCAATCACTGATCGCCACTGGCCATTGCCCATGCTACTGGCGGTGTCTGCGGGTAGTTGCCAGTTGCTGGCTGGTGCTCACCACCCCCCACCTCACCACCGACACCGCCATGGCCACCTGTGGGAGCTCGCCACTGCCATGCCACCGACACTGCTGCTGCTGCCTGTGCCATGCTCCCCCAGCCTCAGGAGGCACGCAACGTTCATGTCTGCACACATACAACTACTCAGCTCACTTACCGTGCCTGGAAGCAGCACCCTCAAGCATGCTGAGTGGCTCTGCTTGATCCCTATGGTCATGATTTGGCCTTCAGACCCATCCCCGTGATCCTCATCCAGCCCACAGGGCTAGGAGGATGTACACCACTGTTGTAGAACATTAAATGCGTGGTACGTCTGAACATGTTTTAGCTGAGACCTAGTGAAATGCACCTACTCCTATTTAAGTACAGGATCACTGTCACTTGCGTCTTATGACTCTCATTTACCAGATCTACCTTGCTACAGTTCAGCTACAGTTTCAAGGATTTGCATACTCTGGGTTAACCACATTTCTGTTACATCAGCCTCTTTAGAAAGAATAACAATGAAAAATATCTTGTTTTAAAAGTAAGAAGAATGACTATTTGACTATTCTCTCTCACGGATTCCTTTTATTGTTTGTTTCCCTTGTAGAAATATATTTTAAATATAGCATGCCAGGTAAAAAGTTGGGTTGACTTGTGGAAAAACAGTGCTCTGAAAGCTTGAATGCATTTTGTGTACTGTCAAAATGCTTGAAAAAGTTTGAAGGTCCCCAAAGCCCAAACTCTTGGGTTAGCTCCTCCCAGCTACATATTTGTAACACACAAATCATAATTAAATAAATTATCCTTAGAGTATTTATAGAAACAAAATACAACATATTTAAGTTGACAACATTGTTAAAACCACACTAGATCAACTGGGAATATGAGATGTCATAAGCATTTTAGGCAATGCAATCAAATAGTCTCCCAGGATTTTACACACTGCTAGTTAAGAAAACAAATTTTCATTTTACATTTTGCAAGCTGTCACCTTATATACAGTACATCAGAAAACTTGCCATGACTGGTTTTACTGCCAGACCTCTTAAGAACTAATTGGTTAAGCACCTGGGCAGGAAGCTTTTTGGCAGAAACCTTATTTTCTGCAAGGACTAGCTATAAAGTTCTGGATGGCAAATTGTAATTGTTAAGGCTCCATCTTCTACAACAGGACACATAAAATGTAAATACATTGTATGGAGGCATTACAGTGCATAAAAGGATGGGCCATTTTTTTATGTTTATCCAATGACTTATGGCTCAAATTTGAACTTGGACATAATCTTTTACTTTTTAAGGGTCAGCCTTTCATCAGGTTTTCCTAATTGCACCTAGTGAATTAGTATCACATCTGTTTGCCTGTACCCAAACCAGTTTTGCATGTCCAAATATCATTTTGCAGATATGATCGACATTTGCAGACACAATTTCTCAGTCTACTTATGTAAGCATAGTTGCATGTGTACATATAAAGGAATGCAGTTTTTGCATTTGTAAATTAGAACAGCCACTAAAGGGTTTTTTTTCTTTTCCTGTGAGTTTACATTATTTACTTTTTGGTTTTGTGTAGCTTTTGTGTGTGTGCATGTATGTTTATGTGTATCAGATTGAGTGGATTTAAATACTACAAAAGTAGAGTTCATAAGTATTTGTTTGAATCCCAAATGAAGATAGACTTGATTATGTTAGAAGTACCTTTTTATGTATTGTCCATGAACATGGTTGATAACAGGTTTTTTGTTTACATACCTTTTATAATTTTTTGGCCCTTTTTTGGCCTAAAGAAGTTAGTTGCTCAGTTATCATGGAGATGCAGTGAAGAGTTGCGTTTCTAATTTCTGCAGGTTTCTTTGCAAAAGCTTACCTTTGGTGAATATTTATATTTACACTAAAGCACAAGTATATGCCATGCATTATGGCCAGAACCAAAGGCTAATGAAATCTATGATAATTTATCCTCAATGAGCTTTGAATCTGATCTAATTTTCTATTTTGTTTCTTATTTATTTGTTACTGTTTGTTTTCAGAATGTTTAAGGCATTGTCGTTCTTTAATTTTATACACAATGAATGGTTGACCTTAGTGGAATGACCCCTATGCTAGAAGTGAAGCATACACCCACATTTATAGGGAGACTTGTTACTCATTTTGGGGTGTAGAAATAATATGCGATAATGGGCATCTATACACATGCTCTGGAGTGGAGGTGGGGGGATGCTTTAATTAGAGTAGATCTCAGAGCCACTCTAATTAAAGCTCCCACAGCATCACCTGTATTCAGCATCATGTACTTCCAAGTGGCAGTGGGGGCATTTTAACTAAAGCTCTTTCACAAGCTTTAGTTAAGCACCCCTGCCACTATTTTGATATGTGGGGCTGTTGAATACATGTGACAGAGGCTGCTGGAGCATGCTAATTAGCATGCTCCAGCAGACGCACAGCTTAATTGAGTCTGCTCTGACACATGCTAATTAGCATGTCGCAGCAGAGGTCCATCACATGTATAGGTGCACAATCATTCATAATTTGCTAGTAGGAACTAGCAAATCTTTGATTTTATAGCGAATAAAACCAGCATCTCCGCATCCACTCCGGGTACCTTTGACATCATTCAAAATATGAATATCAAATGCCTATGGAATTATAATTAAACTGTGAAAATGTTATCTTGTATACATCCTTTTCCTGCCACAACATGAGGCAATTTAATGGCTGTAAACATTAAAGCAATTAATAACTCTCATGGTCCTACTTCCAGTTTGAAAAACAGTGTCTTGAAGGTGATGACTGGGTAGGGGGAGGGCAGGGCTTGCAGTCTGTTCTATCAGTAATAGAGGTAATGAAGGCAGGGTTACTTTGGACTAAGGCAGAGAAGTCCCCAAAGAGACTGCCTTGCTAGCTGTCCCTTCGAACTTTATATATATGAGATATATATGCAGATCAGGAACCTCTGCTGACTTTGGCAGCTTCAACATGGCTTGAGTAGAGAGATCTCTCTCAAAGTCAAGATGGCAGAGGCTGGGGTAGGGCTCTGGAGGCTTGAATTCTATTCCTGGTTCTGGTCTGTTTGTGTGATCACATGGAAGTCACAAACCCATACTATGGTTCCCTCCCACTCTTTGTTTGGCCGATGTGTCAATTGGTATATGAGGTCATCTTTTTTTCCCTACATACCTCTCATATTTTTAGAGCTAAAGTTTGCATTTTGTAAATATGAACTTAAAAAAGCTGCTGTTAAAGGACACATCGGGGAATACTGTGTAAACATTGACATCTAGTAAAAAGAAGCAACAATAATCCACTCTGGATTATATGTTTTAGGATATTTAAGGAAGGGAGAAGAAGAGCCAATGCAGGCTGCTTCCTCCACTTCGGCAGAGTAACCACTATAGAGTGTTTTTGAATCCATTCTCAAGGCCTGTGGGCAATATTCCACTACCCTGTAGCACTGGGTCTTATTACTCAGGCTGGGCTGTCGGCTCACTATTTCACACCCAGAGCCGGTATGTACCAAATTTAATCTGCATGTGATTGCCTTTTTTGTGGGTGTTGTAATATGCATCATTTAAATGGCAACTTTCTATAAATCTTGCCATCACATGGGCATGGTGCACAGGCATCCACCTAACCCCCACAACACCACTAAATCCTGATCTCCCACAGCTACATGAGGTGTCAAACCTTCCATCGACTTGGGCCAAGTCCACACCAGAAAGGCTGGCCAGCAGAGCTATGCCTGTTAGGACTGTGAAAAATATCACAGCCCAGACTGATGTACATTTGCCAGCAAACTGGGCTCTCTTCTTTGGTAGGTACCACTTCATTCTGCCAGAAGAGTCCTTCGCCAGTTTAGTTCTGCTAGCAAAACATTTGTAATATAGACCAGTTCGTGATCAGAACTCCAGTTTTAATGACTAATGGGGAAAAAGGAAAAGTTGCAGGCCAAACCTAGCTGCGGCTAGGGCCAACCGTCTTTTAATTCTATCTTAGAGGCAAAACTCTGCTGCATAGTGTATGTGTTTGCCGTATTTTTTATTTGCTCCCCCATTTGAGAAGCAGCTGTAGGTGCTGGGATACCAGAGGTGAGTAGGACACAGAGTAGCGTTCTCAGATGCATCTCTTTTTCCAGTGCACATAATTGCTTTCTTATTCCATCTCAGGCCCCACAATCTTTCCTAAGATTTAAAGGCACATAAAATATTACAAATTGATATTATTGGGCCAGATTCTCAGCTGGGGTATGAACAAGCATACACTTTACAGAGAGCTGCAAGGGAACCAGGACTTACCATGCATCAGTGGTATGTAAACTGTCTGCCTGCTTTTATCCTGCAGTAAGGGAAGGATGAGGCAGGACTCAGTTATTGCAGTTTAGCTTTCATTTACTGTGGGACAAAATAGTGGACCAGTGGCCAGTTACCAGTTTAACTCACTAATTTGCTTATTTGTTCATGCTTCTAGTATAAATTGTCCTAATTCTGACTTCAGTGGAAACACAACAGTTTACACCATCTGGGAATCTAGCTGCTATTTACAAAACTGCTCATTTTCAATTATAAATAATTCACTGAATACTATTTGAATCTTATTTGTACTATCTAAAGTGGCATGTGTACCCATGTTAAAAGAAAAATAAAGCCCAATGTTTTTTGAGTAATGACTTTGTGGGACATATACTATTGTAAAACCGGGGAAGTGTGCTTGGGTAGATCTGGGTCTACTTATACAGCTCTAAATGATTTCTAGAGTCAGCTGGAGCTTTGGAAAATATAACTTCTCCAGGCTAAGGCTTTGAGTGGTTCTAATCTCTGACGTGCATTGTTTTGTGACTAAAACATTTCCCACTGCACTTGTGTGTTAGAAGTTGAAATCTGGCTTCCTGTCTGTCTAGTTTCTGCCTGAAGCAAAATTTTTATGACTGAACTGTGAACCCTTTACTAGGGACGGTTATAAAAGAAAAGCTTACAGGATTTTTAACTAATTGTGGCCATAGCAACATTTGTTTTAACACTTCTTTTCTGGTTTAATTTCTGGGTGTTTTAATCTTATCTTCCATCTCTGCATGGGCCAGGACTGAAACTTGACATAAAATACAGTGGTAGAAATTCTAAAATGAACATAATATGCAAAGATGAAGTCTGAAAAGTCTTTAGTGGACTTTGGATCATACTTTCACTGACTTGCCACCAAAGGAAGAGAGGGTGAGGTCAGTCAGAAGCTAATCTTTCTTTGCCTATTTTCAGAAGAAAAAAAATTGACAAATACATTTTGATTCACTTTACAGTATTACAGTTTCAGGGGTCAAGGAGAAAAACACACTGATTTTTTTCTCTGGGAGAAGTCTTTTCTATTAATCACCCCTGATTAAAGCCACAATCAAGTCTTCTCAGCCAATAGTCACATCTGTATTTTTGTTTCTGTAGCATTCGTGCTGTACATATCTTACGTAGGGCCACCTTACTCTCACAAGCTTTGCACCGTCTTCATTGACACTGCTCACATATGAACAGTGAGTGATTCAGGCAAGATTTAGACCTAACATGCTGTTCACAAACTGAGATCTCACCTTCATTGTCTTTTGTTCTTTTTGATAACTCATCAACTTCCTGAGCAATAAGCAATATGAAGCCATGACAGAAGATGGTCTGTTGTTTATTAAAATGTTGATGACTTCTGAAAGACTGAGCTCCATTGTTTTTGTCATGTAATTTAGAACCACAGGGTTCAGTTCCTCAGGGTGAAGCCTGAAAAATTAGGAACAATCTTTAGACAAAAATCTTTTCCTAGTCTAGTGACATGGATTTATAATTGATTATAAGCATGATGTACAAATACTGTTCTGTTATAAATAATATAATATTTGGGGTATTTTGACTATTCTGCATATATAAAACTATGGCAGCTGCTTACAAATTCATCGGGGGGATGGGGGTGGGGGGAGCAGGCAGCAAGGAATAGGAGATAATCTGTTTACCAGGGCACCCCTTGGAGTAACTAGGGACAACAGCTACAAACTGATGGAGAGCTGATTTAGGTTAGACATCAGAAAGAACTTTACAGCAAGGGTTGTCAGAATCTGAAATGGGCTTCCAAGGGAGGTGGTGCTCTTCCCTACCTTGGGGGTCTTTCAGAGGAGGCTAGACATGCACCTGGCTGAGGTCACCTAACCCCGCCGCTCTTTCCTGCTCATGGCAGGGTTTGGACTTGATGACCTACTGAGGTCCCTTCCAACCCAAACATCTATGAATATATGGTATACAGAATTTTGTGAGCTGACAAACAGAACCAAGATCAGCCTTCGTTTAAAGCCCAGCTTTGGTAAATATCCCTCTGCTGATACAGAGCGGGTTGATTGACTTGAAAGGACAAACTCCAGTATTAGCAAAGTCACAAAGTTTAGAGAAGCAAATAGTTAAATTCTTCTTTGAATTAAATACATTTTTTGGTCTTGAATACAGGAACAATAGGAAGATCTCTGCGTGGAAGGGGATTTGAAGAAGCGATGAGGCTGGCAAATTTCACAGGGTAAAAGGAAGGTCTTTAGAGAAGTGGGAGAGAATTTTTTAATATACAACACTGTGAAATAAATTGGTTACATTTAAAATTGCTCAATTAAGTTAAATTATAGATAACTTACCAAGAGACTTATTAGTATTTTCATCAGCTGTTTGTGAGAATTTGTTAGTAGCAATGCCTAGGTATTTGATTTTAAAAATCCCAAAGATTTTTTCCTAAACACTTTTACAGTCTTTGGAAACTTGGGTGGGCTAAAATAGGAGATGAGTCCCTTCAGAATTTGACAAATTCCATACAGACTTCCAATAGCCTTTGCCATAACGGGCAATGACAACTGGACATTGTACTGTGAGGATGCAAGTCAATTCCCACTGAAGTTAATACTGGTTGATCAGATGCTACAGGCCAGACTTTTTTCTGTGCTTCACTGGTGCAAACCCATAGGTTTGTAGGCATTCTGTTATTCTACCAGATTACACTGGTGTAATTGAGAGCAGAATCTGGCTTGTTCATTTTCTCCAAATCAAATTATGCCTAATTGTTAGAAAAACTAAAGGCTCCATCACTGAAACTAGATATTTTAGAAGAGCAATAAAGTCAGTTTTGCAGTCAACTAGCACAAATGAGTAATGAAATTCTGAATGTGGAAAATTTTTACATAAAGTATCATGTTCCCTCTTCTGAAACAGATCATTAAGGTATAATAAACAGTGGATACATTTTCTCTACAGAACAGATTTTCTCTACACATTAAATAATAAGTAAGAAGTAATAACAGCTATGTGTTCAGATATCTTAGACAAAATGTGGCTAATCACATTAAAAAGCTTGATGATGACTTTGCATCTGTTTGAATACTGGCATGCTGTTCAAGAGAAAGCAATGACTTGATTGGGAGGTAGAAGGCAGCATAAGCTTTTGTAAACAATAAGCTGCTTGGTCAGATGCCTCTGGTGAAGTAGGCTGTTGCCTATGAAAGCTTATACATTTCTGAATGAGTTAGTCTCTGTGGTGCGAGCTTGCCCTGCCTTCTCCCTGATTTCAGACTATCATGGCCAACTACTTTTCTCAAGAAAGGACAGTAGACGCTAATTTCAGAAATATAGAGGAATAAAATCATTATATTAGAATTGTAATTCAAAATAAATATCTCAAATGGAAATACAATACACAATTGTATAGTGAAGAAATAATTAGAATCAAACAGTCTAGAAATGCAACGGCACTGGTAAAACGCATCCAGAAAAAGAAGTTAATGCAAAATATTCATACGGTATTCTCAACACATTTGGTATTGTTTCATCTAATGCAGGTCTACATTCAGAGATGTTGAAGTGGATTTGTACTAAGTCTTGGTGTTACTAGGATTTGCTAAAGCCTTTGGAACATCACTTAGCAGATAAATCTGAATGGAAAATAATTAAATAATATCAGAAAATAATTACCTATTTTTATATATAATGGAATTCAGTGGTTTCCTAATGAATCCTTCATTCAGCCATTTGTCTTTCATTGCTTCTTTAACTGAAGGCCGCTTTGCTGGATCAGGTTCAAGTAAGGAATGAATGAAATGTACAGCTCCTGTATGGAAATGTAGGCAAAATGGCTTGGAATAGAATAGTATCTGCTTATTCTACCAGCATAAAATTTCTCATGAGCAGAGGACCCATATGTGGCCTAGCACCTACCAACCCCTATTTTGAGGATCTGGGCATGTGCCTCTGTTTCAGTTTTTCCATTGTCTTCACAGAATGTTCAATAAGAGCTGTAAGTTGTATATACTTATCCTGATCCTCTACCTAGGGGTAACTTTATTCACCCAGAGAAGCTAACATCGCTGATTAGACTTTAACAATATTTATTTCAGCTGTGACTTACCTTAGAAGAGCATAGGTTCCCAGCTGTGAAAGGTTAGTGCATTAATTCCTCATCCATCTAAACTCCAACCAAGAAGGAGACAACTGGGATGCTTTCATTGTCTCACTAACACTGGGGGGGAAAAAAACTACCTACAAAAATGTAGGATGGAACAACATATGTTCTGTTAACCAGAGTAGATATTATAATGAAATTAGATAAAAAGGTAAAATGCTAAACATTTCTGGTAGTATCCTATTAACTTTGTTTGGGGAAAAAATCTTGCTCATCATGTTGCCTTAACACTGTTCTGTATCAGAACTAGTTGGAACAATGTGCTGGAATTCTCCCCTGCCTCTAGACAGAACTTGAGTGCAGTCTGTATAACAGCTGGCCATACCATATGGATTGGTCCAAGGAGAGTTATCAGGCCACTGGAGGAACTCAGCCAATTGCCTGGTAAGAGTGGGAAATGGCCAATCCTTACCTGCAGGGGTGGAGCTGACAGAAGCAGCACAATGAGTGGTGCTGCCACCGTGATTTAAAAGGACCTGTTTCTTGTGGTTGGGCGGGCACTTGGACCGTGACATCACAGGCCCATGCCCAGAGCCAGAGAGCGGAGAGTGAGTGGAGCCATCCAGCAGCAGAGCATAGAGCCCAGCAGCTGCTTCGCGTCCTGCAGTGCTGAAGATAATAAGGGAGCGAGCCAGTTCCCACTTTGGAATCACAGAGAGGTATCCAGCCAGCCAGTGACCCCACATTACTTAGAACAAGATTTCTCATGGACCCCATTCCCCAGGCACTGAAGAAGGGGCACGTGAGTGGAGCAGCCACCATGACCTAAGACCCATGGCATGGCGAAGACTCTGCTATTTCTTTTGTTTCTGTTTGCTTAAAGAGATGATCAATATTGAGTGAGACAGCTGCTCACTCCTTAAGGAGGCCATTGGACTTAATCCCCTGAATTGACCAAGGGCTAACTCTTTGATTTGAGTGGGGGGATTGAGCTGAGCATAGGTTAGTATAGCCTGAAAATTAACTGGGGCTGCACTAGATTGTGGTTGATTAGAGAGTAGTTATGAATTTAATTAATTTGAAAAGACCCAGTAATTAATCTATCATTGCTGATCATCAGTTAACTTATTGTGTCCAATTATGAATCAGTTGTGGACTTTGACAATGTAAGGACAAAACATGCAAGCTAACTGATTTCAGAAACCTGACTGGAACCGTAATGAGTTAAGCCAGACCTGGTCTGAAATCTGAGGCCCAAAATGATTAGGGTCTAGGCTTCGCTGGAGTGTAGGTGTAGGCTGTAGACATCAGGCCTTGGCAGCTTGAGAACAGGACTGCTGACACTGTTTTGATCTTGGTTGACATGTGGATGGGGTATAGGGGAAGAGGAGCCCCAGGAACCTGCACAGTGCATACATGCTCACAAGGGTGCTGATAACACCCCAGAACCCTCCTTTTCTCAAGATCAAGGTATGGCAGGTGAGTTGAGGGAGGTTCCTTGGGAGCAAACCATGCTGCTACTCTCCTGTAAGGGTGATGGTTCCACAGTCTGACAGAGAGCTGATCTTAGCTCCCTCATTCTGTTCATCCTGACTTTGTGTCAAGTTGAAACTGTTCAGGGAGAAGAGGAAATTAGATCAATCTAAGAGTTTTGGTTATAGTGGAGTCTTGCTCTGTTCTGGCCTCTGCCTTTGACGTACATTGAAGCCAATGGTATTACATGAATTAAAACTGCTATGAAAGGAAACCCCAGCCTGTGATGGGTAAAGCAGATTATACTGAAATGGTACCTGTCCATTTGAAATGAAATTGTAGACTAAACCCAGAGGTACTTCAGCAATTAGCAGTCTAATGCCCATGAAAGCAATTTTTGGACTATTAGACCAAACTTATATTCACCAATACCACTTTTGGCTTGTAAAACTAAATTTAGAGCTGCGACTAATCCTTACATTGAATGCCTTCGGAAAGTAACTGAAAAAGTTTCCATTGACTTTGCCTCTCTAATGAAGATTATGCCATGTGTACAGTTGGTTTTGAAATTCAATTTTTCTTCAAACTTTCTGATGAAAAATCAAGGAGTAATTCTCACAAAAAATTCTTCCATTTTCAACCAACTATAATTTAAAAAATGATATTTTATGGTCTCTGCTTTTATGATGACCCTCAAGGGGGGGCCTGTTTTGTTTTATCTGGGGCCTGTCAAATCCCTAGGTGGCCCATCCAACCTGAGACAGAAGTTTAGTAATAGCTGTCATGAACCTATTAGCAGCCATTTACCACGAGCATAACCATTACATGATTGCCCAGCTGTAGAGAAAAAAAAGTGCAGTGGAAGGGAGCAACTTGGATTGGAAATGACAGGAAAGAGGAAACACAGCACAGCTGATCTGCAACCTGTCACAAAAGGAGACAAGGCAAGATGCTTAATAATACAGCAAGCTAGTTAGAACCACTTCTAGCTCTGCCTTAAGAGGAGAATGATGGTCTAGGCAGGCCATGAATCCCTCAAATGGCCATGGTGCCAAGCCTGTTTAGTGAACTGAGGCAGCACCAATCTCAGTTCAGGCATCCATCAAATCCTAGTTTCAGATTGAAGGCCTTAAGGGACAGCAGGGGCCTTGATTGTTGCCTTCCCCAAATGGTCACCAGTGCTTAACACCCCATAGGAACTGGACAACACTACCCCCCCAGCTCGGTCCTTCCTGAGGGTGTTAAGAGAAGGCTGCAGAAGCTCATTGGCCCTGATGCACAGCCAGCCCAAATGACCATCGATGCTTAACAGCCTATGTGGGTCATCAGGTCATCAGGAACACCTCTGGCCGGGGGGGGGCGGTGCTTAACAGACATTGCTGCCAGTCAGTCCCAGCTCTGACACAGGTTCTCCAACACTATACCATGTGGCCGATGGCTGTTAGTTGCTTGGAGAGAAGAGGGTACCTGCAGGTGGCTCCCTTATTCAGAATGCAAAGACTTACACTGTTTGCCCTGAGCATATGCCACTCCTATACAATGTGGCAGTGGTTATGGCTGAAAGCTGAGGCTGCTGGAAAAAAGGGTTTGGCCTATGGATACTCCCAGATGTTGGTGAGGTGCCTGGGGGGAAACCACTCCCCAGCCAACTGCACTGAGCACCAGATTTGGAGACCACCCCTCATGTTGGCCCATGGTGGGAACCATGGGCAGATACTGGGCTCAGTCCTGCTGCAACCATGTAACTAGACCATCACCTCTAAAGGAGCTGCCTCCTTCTTAAGACAGTCATAGTTACTGAGCCACTCTTTGAGACAGCCAGCTAAGGTTTTCACAACTCAAACTTTACAGGCATTAATCAAATGAATTAAGAATCAAATTCTTAATTCTGGCATGTAGCACACTCAACAAAACTCTGAGGGACTGTTTCAGTTACACTACCAAAGCAGCACAAAGCATGAAAGGAAGTATAGCATTTATCCCTACTTAAGACCTTTTACTGTATATGAAAATCAAGCCGTATCTTTACAGGGCAAACAGCATTATCTTCTAATGACTTATGAGACAAGATTAAGAAATTTAGACAGTGTGAGAACTTGCCTGCATAATAAAAGCTATTTTCAAAAGAAAACAAGTATGACTGAAAGAGGTAGCTCAGCTCCTTTGCCACTTAAAAATGATCACATTATGGTATCTCCTCATAACAAGGATGCTAAAGGGTTAACACTATCTTCCTTCCTAACAGTGAGAGTATTAGGAAATGTTATATTATCTATATTATATACATAAAAATCTGAGTTAATTACCTGGGGAGATATCTGATGGAATGGGGCTGATTTCACCCGTGACCATCTTTTGATGTAGTTGCTTGATATTAAATGGCTCCACTGTGAAGGGCAATGTGCCAGTTAACATAGCAAACATGCTAACACCACTGTCAAGGGAAAAAGACAAATGCATCAAAATGGAATACAGTTACAATAAATACAGATAAAAAACTATGATTCAGCTTTCATAGTTTTGCCTTTGCTATTGAGAGCAGCCTCCAAATAATTGCTAAGCATCTCTAGTCAGCTAAAAATCTTTTCTTTATGTAAAAGCTGTTTAACCTGAGAAGGAAGGCTAGATTTGCACCTAATATACTAAGGTGCATAGCATAAGGTGCAAATCTACCCTGTCTTCTTCCTTACTTCTGGCTAACTTGGCTAACTACCTCTCTCTAATCTTAGAATAGCATTGTTCAGTACAGGCAGTATGGTTTGTGTAAAAAGAATAGTGGGGAAATGTAATCTGAGTGAATGGCATTGGATGTATATGATAGGGAAGAGGGATGTCTGCTATATCTTTACAAAGTAAGTACAGTACATACAATATCATGGCATGATATAAAGCCCATCCAAATAAAGTGCTTTAGCTCTGACATGGAATCACTGGGTTGAGATGATAATTAAGATCCAAATGTCCATATCCATTCAGATTTGCACAGACTGATAACATAGGAGTTAGTAAATTTGCTAATGCAGGCATTAACTAAGTCAGCGATTCAGTTTGGATAAGCACTCATGGGCAGATCCAGGACTTTGAAAAGGAGGGTGTGAAAACAGTGACCTGCCCTGCAGAGGTGGCTGCACCCTGGTTCCCAGCCCCTCCCCGACTCATCAGGGTGGGCAGACCGTGCCACAGAAGCAGCATCAAGCGACTTTTTAAAAGTCCCTCAAGCAGATAAAGGATCTTCCATGCCCCCTCCCTGTGCTCAGTAACATGTTCCCTCCCCTCTCCCATTCTCCCCCTCCTGCTGTGGCAACCAGATTACCTGGGAGAAAGGGAGGGCTCCAGAGTTGCTCCTGGCTGAGCCCAGCTGGAGGGCTCTGGAGCAGCAAGAAATAGTGGCAGTAGTGGGTGGGGAAAGGGGAGAGAGGGGAGGGAAGGGACGTACCTTTAAAAATAGAGGGGAAAGAAGTGGGGAATTCTTACTTGTTTTTGGGACTTAAGAAAAAGTCCCCATTTGTTGCTCCCATAATGTAATCAACTGAAAAGGGGGTGCATCCATGCTACTGCACCTCCACCCTCCTAGATCTTCCCCTTTAAGTATCTGCAAGATTCAGTGCTTATCAAGCTTTCATATGTTTGCAGACTTGATCATAAAATCCCCTGTGAACAGGCCATCGTACACTACTCATGGCACTATTTGTCCCAATTCAGTTGGAAAATATTACAGTCTAGCCTGTCTTTTGCTTTTGGACCATCCCTGCTTCCAAGTGGATTACATAGTACAAAAGACTGAAAAATAAAAATCAGCATTACTGAAAAATTGGTTAAACTTGATTGACCGCAGGTAGGTTCCATTTAGTTGCTGTATGCCATATCTACTTGAATCCAGGATGATTTTGAATTTAAGATTACCCCCCAATAATTAGATTCTAGGCATGAAAAATGTATAAAGTTGTTATAATTTTCCATGTGTAGAAAGTAATTATTAGAAGCTTGTCTTAAATTTGTCTACCCCACCAGTGCAGATGGGCAGGCAGTGGGAACACAGGCAGCAGGTAGGGAGCCAGGTGCTTTTGAGGAGAGGTGGTAGGAAAGTCAAGTAGCCTGAGTCTAACCCTTGCCCTCCCAAATGTTTCCCCCTGTTGTCTTTCCTTCCCACCAGTTGCCCTCCTTGGTCTCTTTCTTATGCCTGCATGGTGCAGTGATAATTTTGATGCTGCTTTTTTATGTGGGCACCTATTCTCAAAGGCAGTCTCTTTCTCTCATTCCGGCAAAAACAAATCATAGGATGGTGGCATCTTTCCCAGATTCATATTAGGTTCTAGTCAACAAGCAATATTCCATATATGAAAGCTTCATTATCTTCATTATTAAATCCTATGACACATCCAATCCCTGAATAGAAAGGTGCTTAATGAGGCAGAAGATAATAGGGTGACACCTTAGAGACTAACTGGTTCAGAGGTGCATGATTTTTCTTCAAAGCAACGTTTTCCCAGTTTCCTGTTGGGGTCTCTACCAAAAGGATATCTGGGTGTGGAGAGATCATGTTGTACTGAAGAAGCATCCATGCTTTTGTTGCTTTGATTACTGGCGTGCCAAATTCTAGATAAAGTTCTGAAGGTAAAAAAGTGTCTCTGGGTAATCTTTGATGGGTCAAAATAATATATGCTGTGTACATGGACGTCTAATGCCATATAATATTAAATACATTTTTCTTTTTAACGTTGTGAACACTGCCATTGTCACACACTTTAAATTGCTATTGACAATACACACGACTGGTACCTTTGACTGGATGTCATTTTTTATCAGCCAGCTGGATTGCAAAATCCCCAGTGCATGAGAATTTGGGGGATAACATGGATTTTTAGCCATAATAGCTTTAAAAAGGTAATGCACAAGATGTAATTAATTAACAGCAATGCCAGCAATGTATTAAATATTTAATTATAGCTGGAAACTGATGACTTAAGCTTGAAAATTTATTGGCTGTAACAAACTGCTGCTCTTCCATCCCACTGAAATGTCCGGCTCTGTTTGAATAACACAGCAGCTGTTTTCTTAATCCAGCTGATGTATGAAAGCTAATTGTTTTCCAGTCCTCCAAAGAATCTTAAAATCTCACACACAAAAATCATTAATAAGCCAAGGAAGCAGTGGCGTTTCTTTCACAGAACCCTAATTGTATTGCTGTTGAATCTGATTGGTTGTTGGAACATGATTTTGAATCACTGTAATATTGTTTCTGGTGATTACCATTACCTAGCAACCTTTGTCTGTGAAGTTAGCACTTCTACACTGAACTGGCTGATTTAGAATCACATGCTTATTTCACGACAGTTGAGCTGAAAAAGAAATAACTTATTGTTCAGGTTACAATTTCTCTCTTACTTTTCCATGATGAAGGTATGAGCAATAAAAAGCCAAACTGTAAATCCTTTATTTTTCCTCATGTTTAAAACAAACATTTTTTGAATTAAATGCCAAGGGCTGTATATAAGTTTTACACAACCCTTGATCTGTGTGTGTGACTCTTATTAACAGATTGAGATCAATAATTGGTTCTCAGGCTGATTTTTTTTTTTTTTTTGCATCCATTCTGCAGACATCTGAAGTATGAAGTAAGTTTAATTCTGGATATAAAATTGTAAAAGTGATAGCACATTTTTGAGTTTCACAAATTGTAAAAACTGATCCATTTTTTTCAATTTTTGTGACTTTTTTCTTTCTTAAAATTATTTTAGTAAACAAGATTGAAAAATATTTTGAGAAAAAAATATTGATAAAAGGTTGCAAAAATTGTAACCCCCCCAAACCAACAACAAGTATTCAAAAAAGCCATTTCATTCTGAAAAATGTTGATCATTGATAGCTGCTGGCAATTGAAGATTCTGTTTTAGCAAGCAGTTCCAAATATTGTAGCAGAATAATGGAAGCTGCTTGCATAAATCATTTTGTAGTATATCAAATATACTGTGTTTGTCATGCAGTATCTTTGAGAGCCATGCATGTATCCTGAGTGCACTTCTGGTAGGACATTTAGGGTTTTTTTCCCCAGATAATTTGAGATATTTTCATGAAACTAATGGCATTATCTTGATCCAAAATGTTAGGTGTTATAGCAGTTACCCAGGTTTTGGGACATCTGGGTTCAGTTTCCTACTCTGTCTCATCATATATGAATCCACATCTCTCACCTCCCAAGAAATCCACTACATGTGAGGAGGCTTTCAGTCTCTCCAGTTGACACTATTGTACTTTGAATAAACAAAAAGTCAATGTAGTGGAGACTGTAGCTCACAGACAGCTTCAACCTGGGCCTCTGGCTTGCCCGGTAAGAATCCCAACTACTTGGTTAGAGTAATTTAGGATAGGCTTCCCTTTAGTTCTTTTGCTGGAGCTATTCTGGTTTGTATAAAATACTTAAATAGCCATTGAACTTGTATACTAGAAAGGATAAATCTCTGGCAGGGTTGCCAAATGTCTATAAATTTATGGTCCATAAAAAAATAAATAAAAAGGATAAGAACATTTGTCTGTGAAGTCCATTAAAAAAAGTGATCTGCCGGAAAAAAAAAAAGGCTAAGAATCTACTGTGTATTAGTGCATTAGCATGGTTTTTGCCGTGATGTGCTAATGCACAGTAGAACAGTCTACTGCTCATTAAGTCATCTCACGTAGACACACCCATTGAGACCAGGATTCCTACCCTATCTTTTTCATGTATAAATGAAGTGAGGTAATAGTCTTCCTAAGAATTTAGAATTGGGATGAATATTTATACTGTATTATTAAAGAAGGGATTTAGTTGTTTTTTAAATCTCAAAGCTGCAGCAGATTTCTATTTTCTATTCGATGCTACTGTCCATCTCTAGTTTGGTCAGTCATGCCTGTTGATCTCATTTCTTAATGCTGTTCTACTCTGAGGAATGAGTATAAGTAGGGACCTACCGAGTCTGCAATTTTGCAGCTTTCACGGAAACTGCAAATTTGGTAGGTCCGCTGTGAAAAGGTCCAGTCTCTGCAAAAAAGTGCAGGGACTGTGAAAAAGAAGGAAAATGACCAGCAAGCGGGGAAGAAGGAAAGGATCTGCAAATAGAGGCAGAAAGCCCTGGCATCATGAAGCATGGGAGGAGGAGAATGGGGATGAGGAAGGCGAAGGAGAGATTTTTGCGGCAGAGTGCTGTGATCTCCCCTCGCCATGCCCTGGGCTGGCCTGGGGCCTTGGATAGTCTATCCCTTGCCAGAGGTTAACAGATGGCCATCTATCTCCAGTGAGGGGCAGGATGTCTGGGAGGCCCCAGTGCACCCTGCTGTGAAAACAGAGCCGGATGCCATGCTGGGACTATGAAATCTGGGGGCAGCCACTGCGAATGAGGTAGATCCCTAAGTATAAATCATATTGTAATTACCAAACCATTTAAGTAGAGATTGGTATATGGGTAAATGTACAAATTAAATATGAGCTAAGTTTGGTCAAATTATGGATGTGGAATGTCTCTTTCCTAACTAGATCCATAAAAATCAAAGGGCTGGGGAAAAAACAGTTTAAATATAGGACTATTGTCTTGCCTGCATGCAGTGATTCAGTTCAACTGTGAAAGATGTAATTCTGTACAATTAACAGGTTGTAATTCTAATACATGAAACAGTGTGAAAAGATGCTTTTTGAATGCTACTTCATTTTTCTTCAGACTCTTCGGTCTTATACCAACATAGTGAATATCTCCACATGTTACTTGTAACATGGCCTCCACATTTGGAATTTGTTAAGAAACTGGTGATAATGGAATGGCAGAGGTCAAAGAAGGTAGTTACTGTCTATCAGCTAAAACTGGGATTAGATCAGGGGTGGGTAAAATATGGCCCATGAGCGGGATCCAGCCTGCCAGGTGACTGGATCCAGCCCATGGAGCTTATTATCTGGCCTGAGGAGCTCATAAAGATGTGGCCATCAGAAGCAGGGCCTGCTGCTAAAATCCAACACATGGAGCCTCCCCCATTGGAGATTTATTGCTGACAGAAGGCAAGTGACAGCTGTGTTAATTCCTGCTGCCTCATATCCTGCTGCTCCTCACCTCAGCCATGTCTGGATCCAGCCTGCAAGGAGGGTTGAATCTGACGCCCTGATCTAAACACACTGCTCCACTATGAGGCTTATATTGATAAGAGTTATCAGATAAGTGCTATGGCCCAAGAAAGAGACTCAAATATTGGACCAAGGGAATGAACTATAGATTATAACAGAGCAACACTATCTCTCCTCATCTGTTAGCAGATGTATCCTTTCCTGGGTTCAAGTCTTCTCTATAAGGTTGGCTGGGGGAATGTTTCTTTGGTAGAAAATTCTGGCTTGTCAGAGAGAACACTTTTTGTGGAAATGTATTCATTTGGACAAAAGTTTCAGAGAGAGAGAGAGAGAGAGAGAGAGAGAGAGAGAGAGAGAGAGGCTCTGACAAACTCTGAGTAGACATCCAAACCTGGCTCTCAAAAATCCTAGGGTAATCAGGCTATTGGCTTTGTGAGAGATGGAGTGCATGCATCTCTTGTGTCTTTTCACAAACCATTTTGAAGGGCCACATTTTTCTCTGCACATCAAAAGAAAAACACATTTTAAAATCTCAAAACCTTCTACAAAACAGAATTCTTAGTCTCTGCGATACCCCAATTTAATCTTTGTTTTCCTTGTTGATGCCTCAAAATAGAAGTGTCCCCAACTTTTATATAAAGTGTTATCTAATGTCATTCTATGTTCATAAGTTTCTGAGAGGCATACTTTGAAATCTACTTACATGGACCAGACATCCACCTTTGGGCCATACTTCTTATGAGCTAGGAGTTCTGGGGCTGCATAAGCTGGGCTTCCACATTGGGTATTTAGCAGTTCCTGAGAGAGACCCTCAAACTTTATAGCATTGCTCAGTCCAAAATCTGACAGATTCACAAAAACAAAGACAGATTTTTTGTAGTGTCTCCTGGGAAGACTTTATGCTTAACATTTGGCCAAAGACAGGAAAAGAAGACACAAAAACAAGCAACGTTATGAATGAGACTATTTTGTGCTATTCTGTTTAACATATTATAATAAAAAGCTATGGCTATATTTTTATAATAAGGATATCATGTATTGTTGTGTACTACACATAAAATAAACATTCTGCATTTGAATAATACAAAGACTTAGGAGGGCTGTAGTAGGGTGAGTAAAGACATCTATTTACATTGATTTATGGTAAAAGGTGCAGAAGATTATCTGCTCTGATTTTTTTTGTTTCGGTTTACTTTGCTTTAGCTTAAATTGACTAGTGTTACAGTTCTAGAATGAGCAGTCTCTCTGGGGACACTCTTTCCAAGTCACAAGCCCATATGAATTCAGCAATTCAGCATTTCACTTCTCTCTTACATTGGGCAACCTAAATCAGACAACCACCTTTGACCAATCATATTACATCAGCAGGTCCAAATGGGTCTTGGCTCCTGCTGTAGGCTTCCCAATGGGAGCTGCTGTGAAAATGCAGTGACTAAGGACAGCTTAATCGAAACACGGTGCTAGGGAAATGTAATAAATAGAAGAAAGGGTTAAAACCAACAAACAAAACTAAACAGATGCTGTCTTGACTAACTTTAGCTTTTCTTTGAAGTAGTTAGGTAGACCCTGTCTAAACACCTACCTTGTCTGTCTGAGTATTAGGGCAGGTTCTGGGAAACTACAGCTATTTAAGGCTGATTTAGTGCTTGTATATGCTTTCTCCAACAGTACTAGAAGCCCCAAGTGTGTGGATACAGCAGTTAAAAAATGAATACATCTCTCCTACATCTTCAAATTAGAAACAGGCTTAATTAAAATGAATAAGCTGCTCATAAACAGAATAAGATAAGGGGTGGGTTTTTTTACAAGTTTAAAAGCCAATCTAAGTGGCCAGTATAACCTTACACAAGCCCTAAGGCATTATATTTTTAGGTGCAGAGTATCTTCAACTCTTGTTGAAAATGGGAATTAAAGACAATCATAGTCTCCTATGATCAGGTCCATAAAAAGTGCAAGTTAAGGCACTGGTTTCATAAGTGGTGGGGTGTTCCCTGCTGGAGGACTAGCTGGGAGAGGAAACTGCCTTATTGACCTCCAGAGATTTAATTCTCATGTTACAATATCATGCCTTTGCCACTATAACTCTGAGGCTAGAAACAGAGGTTGCCAAATGAATCAGATCAGCTGTGCTGGGATGTATCTCAGTACAGCCGATCTACTTTATTAGGCAAAACACACGTCACCCTGCTGATCTTGCAAGATGATGGGTGACATGTTCCCTAATGCCAGAGACATAACCCAGAGATTGCTGGGGGTGTTTTCTGGAAGTGAGGAATCTCAGTTTTGCCCCCTTCCAGAGATGTGCTCCAGAGATCCTGGGGGGGGG